AGCAACAACTTCCAAACCTGACAATATCCCAACCACCACCCTGAAAAGTAGGTGAGGCAAAAGAGATCATAGCTGGTTTGAAATCACATAATAAGTGTATAGTCAAATGTGGATCCCACCTCCAACACTCCAACCATAATACCTAACTGAGTGATTGATTCGATTTATTTATTATATTCCTATGCCGTTTTTCATTCAAATGGCTCCCAAATTGGCTTACAAACGATAAACAACAATAACAGGATAGAACAAAATGGAACATCACAAACAGAGAATAATCATATAGAGTAATTAACAAATCATCAGTGAAACAATAACAATCTATAAAATGGTTAACAAATCTACAGCTAAAAAACAACAACTAAACATCATGAGTTTGACCAAATTGCAGGAGGCAGTGGAAGACAGGAGTGCCTGGCATGCTCTGGTCCATGGGATCATGAAGAGTCAGACACGACTAAACAACAAACATCACAATTAAAGCAAAAGTCATATTATATGATTAACAAATCAACAAATTGATTTATAATCAATAAAAGAGTATTAACAACATGAACAAAATTGCAACCAAAAAATAAGCTAAGCATTGTTAAGTTCAGACACACTTCTCCACACCCCCATAACCTTTCACTCTATTCAGCTCATTAAAATGCAGACACACATAATGCCCGTGGCAACAACTGCCTTCTGAAGGTTCCTTGGGCTGGAGGTGGGGCTAACCACTGTCTGATGGCAAACAGTGTCTCTCTCTCCTCATAGCAGTTCCTCTGGAAAGAGATTCCTTATGAAGGCTCCCAGGGCTTGAGGGTGGGGCAAGGCAGGTGGGAAAAGCCATTACCTGCTGGCCAGCACAGTCCCTTATGGCTTAAAATGTCAATTTTAATACTCTGGGATTTTTGTCACAATATTCTGTTGTTCTAATCTCTTTTATGAAGGCAGGAAGGGCCAGGTATATAGAAAAGTTGTGGGAAATTCAACAAGTAAGGAGCTTGAGAGCCTTTCCACTTTCTCTAGCTCTGTTTCCATGGAAAACAGCTATCCTTCTTGCACAGGAGTCTTGAAAATGCAGTCATCAAGCAGAGAGTGTCTCAGTAAGATTTTACACATCTTATAAGAGTAATATATAAAGAATTGTAGTCTCTTTTCAGCTTTAATAAAACACTCCATTTATCACATCACATTCCATAAAACACACCTCAGCAAGGTCCATAGAGCAACGAAGCCATATCAGAAAAGGGAATTAGGAGTTATCCTGGTCAATTGCCCATTTCAAATTTATTTAGTAAAACATAGTAAATTTTGTGCTATAGCAGCTGCATCACTAATTCAGGACAAAGTAGTGGCGAAGATGGTCTTTGTTGATTATAACACAGTTACAGAAACAGTAGGAACGAGAGAGAAAGTAAAGAAAAGTTTGCAAATTCACATTCAAATTTTATAAATTCCCTATCTTATACAAAAGCTAAAATACATTCATAAGCTAGGTTAGATGGTATAGCAGAAAATTATATTTTACTTATTTCTTTATTGATTGATAAATCACTTAGTCATCAACACTTCTAAGCAATGTACCAAAAAAACAAACAAACTGATATGATGAATAAGAACAATAAAATTCACAACAAAACTAAACACTACCATAAAATGCCTGCTGAAATATGGAAGTCTTGGTGACATGCCTGAAGTTCCAATCTCAGTTGGAAGAGAGTTCCACTAGCTTGGGCCGTAACACTGAATGCATGGCTTCTAGTAGTTACAAACTATGTGGCTGAGCCATGGGGGATCACCAACAGAGACTCCCCTGAAATATTACAGTGACTGGACAGTGATATAGGGAATCAGCTGGTCCTTAAGAAATCATGGAGCCAAGTTGCAAATTAACAAGGGCCTTGAAAATTAATACCAGAACCACGAACCTGGCCCAGTTACACATGAGCAGCCAGTGCAAGTTTTAAAGCACCACTGTTATATGGTAGTCTCTCCCCATTGACTGTCTAGCTGCAGAAATTTGCACCAGCTGGCTCTTCCAAGGATAGCTGCACACAGAGATCGTATCCTCCCTAAAAGAGGGCAGATGTTGTGGTGAGACCTGGAGACTGACCTCCTGTGTCATGGGTGGGTTGGATTGGATTGCCACAACACCCAATTGGTAGGTCCCTCGATGTTGGGTTCAATCTGACCAATGGGGCGCAGTCCAAATGGATCGAGGGACCTATTTATACCCATGCATATGACCCAGAGCTTCCTCTTTTGGCTCGTGCATTTGGAACACCCACCCACCTCTCCCTAAATTTAGGGATTTGTGTGATTGACCTTGCTATGCAGTCATGTGTCGTCTGCCGTTGGGACAGGGGCACGATAGGAATTTCCCCACTTGGCCAATTGGCTGTTGCCATTTGGGTTTCGCCTGCCACATAGCAAATCATCACAACTTGTAAGGTTGCGGATAGGCACTGGTTCAGGTAATAGGGATGGGAGAATGGTCTCGCCATCCTTATGTGAACGGTATTCCGTTAAAGGAATCCAGGGACTCAACTGGTTTGGTCAACCCCTGAGAGGGGGTTGTGCCCATACCTGAGTCTGGGGGGGGCATCTGGGTGGTGAACAGAGGCTGTTCCTGGCTTTTCACCTTCCCAGGTGTTCACCTTTGGGTTGACCTATGCTGGTGCCCTGGGTCAGCGCTGCCTGCAAGAGTGCAGGGAGCTAGTCGAACCAGAGCCTATGCAATCACTCACTTTCTGTAATCAATAAAGTTGTGGCCTAAATTCTGCCAAAAAAAAAACTAAAATTTGAGTCATGTGTGAATTTATTTAGGGGGGAGGTCTCTGGGTCTGAACACGCAACACATTGCAATAATCAAGTCTTGAGATTGCCAGTGCGTAAATCACCACAGCTACGTTATCCCTGTCCAAAAAAGGCCAAAGTTGGCACACCAGCCTTGGTTGAAAAAAGGACTCCTAGCCAGGGAAACTACTTGAGCCTCAAAAGCCACAGACAGGATGAGAAGCAGGAGCAGGGACACAGTTTCCCTGTCTTACTATCAATATACCGTAGGTCACCCATCAGGGCCATCAGGGCTGATTCAGTCTCAAAACAATGCCTGAAGACAGACTGAAACTGCTCCAGATAGTTTCTATCATCCGGGAACTCCTGCAAATTCTCCGCCATCGCTCTCTTCACCACCTTGCCCAAAAAAGAATGCTGGTGATAAGAACTGGAGGCAAAGGTTCCAAATGAATAAAAATAGAGGTGAGAATAAAAATAGAGGTAAGTTTAGGAATAGGGGGGCAGCAGCAGAGAGACAACAGATTTCAGGAACAACATTCTTCATTTGTGAATAGCCTACTGCTGCGTTTAAATGATGCTACTATAAATATCTTCAGTAATCTCCTTTCTGTATACATCCCATTGAGTCAAGAAGCAACAAAAAGGAATGGAGGTCTATCCCAAAGGTCAATTAAGCATGTGAAATTTAAAGCAGTGTAAAGCTTTAAATGGCCTCCATACAAGAACTTAACACAGAACATTTCATATGTAGAAAACAGGGGGATACATATTGGTAATCTACAATATCTGTTTGAATGGCAGCTTTGTAACATGGACAAATGCCTGTTTGAGGCTGAGCTGACACCAGCAATGCTTGTTAGCCCCAGCAGAAACCTACTGTGGCAGTGCATAAAATGAATCTATTAAATAATTCTCAAATGGGAATTTTTGTTGCAAGCCTTATTTAAAATTCACTATCATCTCTTTCCAGCATAGTGCAATACTGGAGAAAAAATGAAGATGAAATCCCACTGGGGAAATGAAAGGTTCCACATTTGGCACCTAAAGATGAACATGGGGTTTTTTGTTTCTTTGGAAAACAGCTAAACAGCTCACTATAGTGCTCAATATTAGTTTTATACTAAATCTATATTTTCTCATGAATGTGCTGAGCAAGACTAGAGTCTTCTCCACTGAAGTAAAAGGGCAATATTAAAAAGAAAGAAAGAAAGCTTAAGGCTAGATAAATAAGTCACAAATGTTGAAACAAGCTAGCAACAACAACAAAAAACCCCTGCTAAATTAAATGCAGTTCTCAGCTCTTTAATTAAACACTGCTACTAATAAACAATGGTACAGTATACTGAGAGTGTATTAAAAGCTGAACAGTTTTAAGAGAGTAACTGGGAAACTTTTCTGTGCACATCTTATTGACGTGTGAATATTTATTTCTTCTCTGTCTCATTTTAATGTAAAGTGCAGAGCTTCATTTGAGCTCCAGGATCTCTTAACACAGCAAGACTCGCCTCTAGAATTAAAGTAGTAGTACTAGGAAATGGACTACGAAAATTTTCAGACTTATTCCTGTCTCCCCTTCCATGTATACCCACAAAAAAAATCATAGAAACCACAACCTGCAGCTACTTGTTCTTGAGCATGTCAGTTCTTGGTGTATCTGTTGTGTTTTAAAAGGTTGTTGGTTGCTTTGAGGGCTCAAGCCAAAAAGTGATGCATAAATGTTCTAAATAAATAAATACATTTGTGGATGTAATATTCAAGGCAATCCTATGGGATCCATCTCATGCACAAATGAGGCCTTGGCATGTTCTAAATGCTTAGCATAGATTTTTTTGAAACATGCCTGTTCAAATGCCATGTCGACATTTTCCCTAACAGAACAGGTCACCTGGGCAGCTTCCCCACATTTTGGCTACGCTAGAAGCCTGAATACAGCTTGAAGTGCACAATATCCAAGCACAGGATCCAGGAACTGAAAAATTGAAATACTCTACAACTCCTTTAACAGAGATATGCTAGGTATCAGTACAATGCATGAACTGTAAGTCAAGGCCAGCCTTGCGGGCATTAAAAAAAAAAAAGCCTCAAGATTGATTGGAAAACTTGCAGATTTGAAAAGATCCAGCAACACTTCAGTGACAACACTTGGAGTGCTTTTCCCAGCCACTTCATTTTAACATCTCTGTCCTTGAGGTATATATAGCACAGATGCCAGGAGTGTCTCAGAAATGATTTGTAGCTAGAAAGTGTTGATATTTACCTTCTTGCTTGGTTAATGTTTCTTTGACGTTAATATAAACTTTCGTGTATAGTGATACACCTCTACAGAAAATTCATGAGGAACATGAATGCAAAAATCAGCAGAAACAAGGAAGGAGACAGGATGGGAAAGAAATCAGTTGGAGAGACAGATCAGTCAAAGAAAAGCGAGTAATTAAGGTACGTAAGGAGTTCAGTGTGAATGTAAAACAAGACAGGGAGCTGCGGTTTCAAGGTTTTCAATGATGGCAATACTGATGATTACAGCCTCCCATTCTTTTGGTCCTAAAGCTTTTTGCACAATGATAGAAGTTTGGACCAGAGAATTTTCTGAGCAGAATTTAAACTGCATGGGCAGGTCTGAATGGTTAAAGCAAAGTGCAATTTACACAGAATTATGTCTATCATTTTAAAATGTCTATTTTATGACTGCTAAGATACACCTAAAAGATGGGGGTGGGGGAGGCTGGAAAATTTCAATACTGAATATTTTGCTGTTGACACACATTTCCAGTGAGAAGGGGCAGGATACGTGCCCTGCACTGCTTCTTGCCCTTTCTTCCCTATACCTAACAGACCAGAAAATAGCAGAATTTCTTTTGCATATCTGTTTGCTTTGCTTAATTTATAGTTTGCAAAATTTACTTTTGCACCCGCCAGTACCTTGCTTGTTACTAGCTAACACAATGTTCAGTACACAGGCTTCATAAACTTAAGACATCTGCTGCATCGAACCATAGGCAAACTCGGCCCTCCAGATGTTTTGGGACTACACCTCCCATCATCCCTAGCTAACAGGACCAGGGGTCAGGGATGATGGGAATTGTAGTCTCAAAACATCTGGAGGGCTGAGTTTGCCTATGCCTGACCTAGTCTGACACCTGGCTTCCTACAGTAGCTAACCAGATGCTCCTGAGAAACCCCAAAGCATGGTGTGGGCAACAGCTATCTCTCCTGTTGTTTGTCCCTAGCAAAGTGGTTCCAAACCTGGAGGGAACATATAGCCATCATGGCTAGTAGCCATTCAGAGCCATTCAATTGTGAATACATTTGGCTTGCCTGGACTTCCTGACCAGAACATCTTTAAGGTTTATGTGCTAAGGAAAGTGTTCTAATTTTAAGTGGCCCAATATTAAATGCACCCTAATGTGATTAAAAAAAGCATAAAAGCACATTTAGATTTGCATTTGTAATGACCTAGATACATCAGAAAAGCCTAAAACACTGAAGCAGCGATCAGTGGTTTATCCAGTTTGAGAAACTGTAGCCAAGCCTTCCAATTCTAGGTTAGCTGCATTACCTACAGAAAATATTTCACCACAACAGCACAACATTCAGTGGAAATTATTTATTTATGCCCCATCCTATCCTGTTGGTTCCAGCAGACATATAAAAATTCACTGAAGTAGAAAGCCCTTTGGGGCCATGATAATCTAAGTAATGGGCATTAGATGGCTTGAGGAAACTAAGTAGGTCAAAGTGAAAACAGAAAATATTTTCTTGTCCTTATCACTCCTCTCCCAAAATACAACTATCCCATGATGTACACATCATCACTTGATCAATCAATGACTAAAAGCGATGTGCATGAACCAAGCCTCTGTGTTTTAAGTAACACTGGAGAACACCAAAGCTCTCTCTGGGTTATGAGAGCTGCGATGGCTCATTCAAACATGCCAGTCACCACGTGGTGAGCATACATTTGTGAAACCACTCTCTGTGTGGGTTCTCTTGCATGTGCACACATAGCTCCTTTGCAATCATTCCTAACACTATAACTTATAAATCTCACTAACAGTTTGCCTCAATGCATATTAGACAAGAGGAAGTGTTTCCTGTTAGAGTTGCCACACACCCTGCATTGAAAACATGATCAATGAAAGCAGGAACAAAACACAAAGGTTAATTTTTTTATGACTTGCCTGCATGCCCGAACTAGGTTGTGTGCTGGTTGATCGTCCACGAAATACCTCCCTACTGTATCTTAAGCACTGTATTATTGCAGCAAGTTCTGTGGTGACTTTAGGATACAGATGAGCCACACCCTGCATCCTCTTTCCAGACAATACTTTACTACCCAGAAGTTTTAGGTTATGCCTCCTTGGACAAAGGGGAATCTACTCAGCACTAGGGCCGATATGAGGTTTGAAGCGCCCCACTATTCAGTCCCCCCCCCCAATGAAGATAGGGGTGACAGCAGCTACTTCACATGGTACTTCTCCACTGAACATCAGACTGTGCGTCACTGCATGTCCCCACGACTGCCTGAAGCCCGCTCACCCCTTTAGCTTACTGGGCTAGGCAGAGTCTGAATTAGACAAAATGTCACCTAAAGGGCAAGTGATCCATACTGAGCAAACACAATATTAAAAAATAATAATAACCAAATCTATATACTCATATTTTTCATTGAACATCTAGGGGAGTAAGCAGAATTAGCCTTTTAATGTCACCGCAAAGCAAGCTCACCGACAAAGACCTTGCAGGGTGAGGTAAGGTTTTGTAGATGCTTGAGCTGACTTTTAAAAATGAAAGCTAACGTCAGTGTTTAGCAGTAGACAACATGGCATGGTTTGTATTTATATTAAAGCCTCAAAAGGCAGCACAATTAAATTTGTCAGTTCTGCTGTTAACAATAGTAACGGGGAGTTTTCATAACTAGCTCCCTGTTGAGCCATTCAAATATATAGCAGATTTACAACACCAATTATTTTAACAACATTTCTAATGTATTTCAATTGTGCGAACGCAAGCGACGTTCGCGGCAATGACTACACAACAACTTCCTGCACAGGATCTCTATGTAAAATAATAGCACGGAGTTTGAAGTAGCTATGCCTATTATATATTCCTCTTCCATTATTGCTATTCACAGCCACTGAAGCGACTATCCATTTCAGTTAATACAAAACAAAGCAACACATACAGTGTATTGGCTGAGATGCCATTATTTGATTATTCTGTTTAAGGAGACTAGAACAGGACTGCACATTAGTGGCGCTAGATCAATGTGCAGTAGTAGCAGAGGCAGCAGCTGTAGAATGAGTGTGCACAATGGCACCACCACTAGTCATATCAGCTCTCATGCCACTGTGATGGTGCCGCAGTGATTAGAAAAAGATCTTGCCAGTTTAGGAGTGTCAGTGGCACTAATAAGTCAAGGTCTGCTGCTGAAATTTTGGCACCACGTAAAACACTAGGCTAGTACACACCTATATTTCCACATTCTCAGTCAATGGCACAGCAACTTTAAATAATTGAACCACTACTTAGGATAACTTGGAACCCTAATTTAACGAGGAATTCTTCAGTGCTTGGTGAGGCATTGGGCAGATGCAAGCATTACCCACATCTTTTGTACACAAAAGTTTCACTATTCTTCTTCCCCACCCTTTTTTTACTACTCAGAATCTGTTTATGTCAATGCATGTATACATTTCACCAATACTATACATTATGCTGTACTTTTGTAAAGCAGAGCATGAGCACACTGTTCCACATTACGTAAAGGGTTCTTAGTTTGGTGAGTATGTAAAGAAAGCCTGAATAACCAGAGACACACCATAGTACTTTTTCTACATGTATGGAAACTGTATTAAAGTTCACCCATTTCAATCAAGATGACAGACTGAACCTTTCAAAACTGCACCTATTTTAATGACTGATTTCAAAACTCTGGTTTCCTATTATTCCCAAGCAATACCAGTACAGTGGTGCCCTGCAAGACGAAATTAATTCGTTCCGCAATTTTTGTCGTCTAGCGAATTTTTCGTCTTGCGAAGCACGGTTTCCCATAGGAATGCATTGAAAATCAATTAATGCGTTCCTAGGGAAACCGCTTGCCAGGCTGGCGGTGCGGAGAAGGGCTTTTCTCCCCACCGCAAGCCTTCAGCACAGGTACGGGAACAGAGGGGAAGGCGCGCAGCGCTTTACCTCTGTTCCCGGGGCTTGCGTGGGAGGAGGGTTTTTCCTCCCCACCGCCAACATTCAGAACAGCATTCTGAATGTTGGCGGTGGGAAGGAAAACCCTTCTCCTACCCCAAGTCTTCAGGACAGCCATCCAAAGGCTGGCGCGGGGAGAAGGTCTCTCCGCCCCCCCCCCACGCCAGGCTTCGGTGCATCCTTCAGAGGCTGCTGCCATAGTCACGCGTCACTTCTCCAGCTGGGAGAGGGTCGCGGGGCTATGTTTTCTTTAGCCCCGCGCGCGCTCTCCCGGCTGGAGAGGTGACGGGCGCCCCACTTCGGAACAGCTGCAAAAGACGTCAGGGGGAAGCGGGGAAGCGAAGAGGTCCGGGGGAGGTCCGGGGGAAGCTTCGCTTCCCCGCTTCCCCCGACGTCTTTTGCAGCAAGGGGCTGCAGGGAGATCGCTATCTCCCCCCAGCCCCTTGCTTCAGAAGAGGTCCGGGGGAAGCGGGGAAGCGAAGCGCTTCGCTTCCCCGCTTCCCCTGGACGTCTTTTGCAGCAAGGGGCTGCAGGGAGATCGCTATCTCCCCGCAGCCCCTTGCTTCAAAAGAGAAGACCCGCTGTCCCCGGGGCAAGCTTCGTTTTGCGAAGCAAGCCCATAGGGGAATTCGTCTTGCGAGGCAAATCGCGGATGAAAAAACCTTTCGTCTAGCGAGTTTTTTGTCTTGCGAGGCGTTCGTCTTGCGGGGCACTACTGTATAAGGCTTCTGTCTCCTTGATCAATACACTGTGGAGGGAAATATGAAATATTAATGTTCCTTTCTGTATATAAGACAACCAAATTAGATGATACATTTAATGCATGAATGGCATCAATGGAAACTTCCTTTCCCTGGGACTAATAAGGGCAGTGGAGGTGGGAAGCGGGGGGTGGGTGGGGGAGGAGGTACTGTGAGGTCCTTAAAGCCTTCTCCCCTAAACTACCCTGGTACTATTTGGAGGTGGGAACTACAATTGTTTCCCTATCTGGGAGATATGCTATCTGGTGGTAGTATTCCTACATTCAGCTGCTGCTGCCGACACAGGTATCTTCAGCAGTCAGGGGTGCTTTTTACAAAATGTTAGTATGACAGCTGCAAAAATATCATAGCCACACAGTGGCTCACACATTGGTAACCTCAAGACTGAATTACTGTACTGCAATGATTTCCATTTGGAGCTACTTGAGAAACAGCAGCCAGTGCATAACATGGCAGCACACCTCCTGATAGGTACAGTTTATCATCAGCATAAAATATTTTTACTTAGTCTCTACTGGCTACTACTACTACTACTAATTTTATTATTTATGCCCTGCCCATCTGGCCGGGTCTCCCCAGCCAATCTCTACTGGCTACTAATATGCAAATTTAAGGTATATAAAGCCATAAACAACATGAGCCTAGTTTACTTGCCCTATATATCCCTGCTCAACCACTACAAACAGCAGCAGTGACACTTTTGACAGTGCTTCACAATGATACTGGCTCCATGAGTACCAGGAGCTTTCAGTGTGGCAGTTCTATTCTTCTGGAGCTCCTTCCCAATGAATACTATGCAAGTGCCCTCTGTATAACCTTCTGTATAAACCTCAGCAGGGATTTCAAAGGGGCTTTTCACAAAGACCTGAGCTTAATCTGAGAATCATTACATAACAAAGGACACAGGTAATGAGTTCTCACATGTCATCCTGAGTCATATCGGCTAGGCATCCCGCTTAAGGGCTACAGCAAAGTTACAAGGGTGTCTCTACCTGACAGATCTTATTTTGAATATAGTGATCTTGTCTTGACTGAAAGGGACAAGCTTGAGTCTCCTCAGTAAATGCACAAAGGGTACTTGGTTTAATCAAGACAGGATATGTTTGCCTGGATGGGATTTATTCACTCTCAAGAGTAGGATTCATGGCCAAACTATAGGCATTGTTTATGTTGGAATTGGCAAGGAGTTCTGGGGAATCAATTGGGTGTGTGCAATCTCCTGGGATGTGGGTGGCGCTGTGGGTTAAACCACAGAGCCTAGGACTTGCTGCTCAGAAGGTTGGCGGTTCAAATCCTCGCGATGGGGTGAGTTCCCATTGCTCAGTCCTTGCTCCTGCCAACCTAGCAGTTTGAAAGCATTTCAAAGTGCAAGTAGATAAATAGGTACCGCTCCGGCTTAGTCATGCTGGCCACATGACCCTGAAGCTGTACACCGGCTCCCTTGGCCAATAAAGCGAGATGAGCGCCACAACCCCAGAGTCGGTCACGACTGAACCTAACGGTCAGGGGCCCCTTTACCTTAATCTCCTGTCTGTGACAGTGTGGTGGCTTGTACCATAATGGCTCACTCTCTCTGTTTAGCAAATGATCGTTGCTCAGAATACAGCCAGTAACCTAGTCCAGGGGTGGCCAACTCCCAAGAGACTGCGATCTACTCACAGAATTAAAAACTGACAGTGATCTAACCCCTTTTTGGCATTCAGGTCAAAGTTGTTGAGCTTTGTTGTTGGGTTTTGGGGGGCTCAAAGTTGTTGAGCTTTTTTATGGAGGCGGAAAGCCCTGATTTTGGAGAGTTCACGCCTAACTTCAAAAGAGATAGGGGAATAGCCACTCACTAGCAGATCGCTGGCAAAACAAACAGCCTTGCTGAGTAAACTCCATCTTCCAATCTGCAGATGGTGCAACAATGGAGAGCAGAGTGATGGGGAGGGGCCAGATTATATTTTACCTATGCTAAAGAAAGGCAGCCAGCAATTGACCGCAATCTAATCTACCAGTGGATCGCGATCAACGTGTTGGATATCCCTGACCTAGTCTAAGGCCATGGTTCTTAACAGCTGTCCTGCACCACACTGATGTGACAGGAGAGGATGGCAAGTGTGGTGGGAAGATTCAAGGACAAATAAACACTTAAAATATTTCAGTGCAGTACAGTATAGTATCAAAATATTGTTTTTCATTTGCAGAATATGGATAGATATCTTCAAAATGAGAGCAAGAGCTTCAAGTGATACTGAGGACAGTCACAGCTGTGATCCAGAATCACTGTTCAAACAGAGTTCTCCATGGCATATTGTTGTGAACAAGGATTGGTTTCAGGGCATGGACACAATTACAGCTGAAAAAGAGCTACTCAGTGCAGAAAACTGGGTTCATTTACCTTCCTTAAACCTCAATAAATGCATCATTTCTATTTTACTATGTATTTTGTTGCTGTAAACTAAAAAAAACGCCCAAACCTCAGAATTCATATAACTAGCCATGTTGGTTTTGTTTGATGTCCGTGCTGCAACCATCCCTAGTGTATGACCCAAAATTCTGACTTGAGTTATGACTTACTGTATTATGTAGCAAGTGTTTTTCCTAATGTAACCACCCTTAATTGTATCACCATAATAACACTAAGAAGTAATCACAATGATACCACTTTACAGATTTGGAATGATACTAATTTGCCCAAGACTACTTGAAAAGGGAGAGCATAACATATGAACTTAACTTTGTATCAAGTTTATCAAGAGACTATTAAAAAGAACTTTCCTGGTACTTTCCAATATTGGGAAAACCACTAGTAATGTGCTTCCCTCCATTTTGTTTTGTTTCATTTCATTTTTGCAGATGAAGCAACATATTGCACAATGTGCAACTTAAACTTCTTGAATTTTGGAACCTTTGATTCAGCAACCCTATAAGGCAGGAGTGGGGACCACTCGTCTTGTGTGAAGTCTTCCCTCACATGAAAATGAAGCTTAAAAACAGCCTCCTATGCTCTAAAAGCCTAATTGCCTTTTGATGGGAGGGTCTTCATATATGACTGTGTGAGAGAGGGGGATATATGGGTTTGTATTGTGGGTGCACGTGTAGGAATGAGTGTGTATGGGCACTGCTCATGGGCGTAGCCAGGGTTTTTGTTAGGAGGGGCAGGCTTTTGTTGGAAGGGATAGACTTTTGTAAAGGGGGTCAGAACCTCAGATTTGTATTCATTTGTATTGACTGGGGGGCAGCTGCCCCCTTCCCCTTTGGCTACACCCATGGCACTGCTATTTTTCTAGAAAAAGAGGTGCCCGAACTCGCCTTATTCTCTTTGAATGATAATGGTGCCCATGTTCCAGAACTGAATTCCGGCTGAAAAAATCCCTATGAATGGGAACTATATATGAGAGGGAGAAGAATCCAACCCATTTTTTTGCATTGGCTTGAAATACTAGCAACATGGGACACCCAGAAGGTTAGACACTAGTTAATGCAGCTCTTCCCCACTCCTATTAAAAAGTCAAATATCATGGTGAGACCATCACTCTTAGGTGGTCTACTGATTGAAAGAATACCATACTTTTCCATGTATAAGACTAGGTTTTTTTCTTTAAAAATGATGCGAAAAAGTGGGGGTCGTCTTATCAACAGATAGTGCATAGGGTGGATGTTTGATTGGTTGCTGCCGCAGCTGTCAGCAGCTATCAGGCGTGTTATTGGTTGCTGCGTCAAGGGCTGGTGTTGACTGGCTAATGCTGCGGCAAGTGGGCGGGCAATTGGTAGCTTCTGCTGGTGAGGGGACAGATGAGAGGCGGATTGAGCAGCATGTGTGGGTGAGTGATTTTCGACATTTTCCCCTAAAAAAAGCTCCACTACTCTGAGCCATCTCCCCCCATTTTCTTAAATTTGAGAACCCTAAAATAGGGGGCGTCTTATACATGGGAGTCTCTTATACACAGGGGCATCTTATACATGGAAAAGTATGGTATGTCTTTCGAATAAATATAATAACTGTACCTAAAATTAAGAGGATATAAAACAGCAGCACTATCAGCCACAACTGGCCAGGTACCTAATGCTGAAACATATCCGATAAGTTCACTTTTATTACCAATAAAATTGTAGTGATACATTTGATGTAGGTTCAGGTAACTGCCCTATAGATTGAAAGATCTAAAAGCATAGTTTAAAAGAAACTTAATAATGTGAAATACTGCTTTGCATCCTGCTGATATATAATATTCCAATTGCCAGGACTCATTTACACATTCTTTTTAAAATGAAGAAAAATTATGAGAATTTTAATTGAGTAGCTCTATACAATGGCTCTATAAAAAATAGATGCTTGCATTCACACACTGCTAATTAGACTATTTGAATATAATTCATAATAGAAACAACAAAACATTGAATATTCTGCACAAGATGTTCAACAAAAATTCACACATTGCAGTTGGTCTAAAGGGTGTCTGATCAGGGAGGCTAATGAATCAATGGAAACAATTACACCACTAATTCAGCTCAAGAATAAAGAACATTTATGAACTACTAGGCTACAGACATCAGTTGGTAAGTTCATTATACCAGAAGACTAAATTAACTATTCCATCATGAGTTATTTTTATAGAAAATACCAAGCACATTTTATAGTTTGCTATAAAATTCAGACCCAAAATTAAAAGACGCCTGCTTCTTGGGAGAAAAGCAATGACAAACCTAGACAGCATCTTAAAAAGCAGAGACAACACCTTGCTAACAAAGGTCCATATAGTTAAAGCTATGGTTTTCCCAGTAGTGATGTATGGAAGTGAGTGCTAGACCATAAAGAAGGCTGATCACCGAAGAATTGATGTTTTTGAATTATGGTGCTGGAGGAGACTCTTGAGAGTCCCATGGACTGCAAGAAGATCAAACCTATCCATTCTTAAGGAAATCAGCCCTGAGTGCTCACTGGAAGGACAGATCCTGAAGCTGAGGCTCCAATACTTTGGCCACCTCATGAGAAGAGAAGACTCCCTGGAAAAGACCCTGATGTTGGGAAAGACTGAGGGCACAAGAAGAAGGGGACGACAGAGGACGAGATGGTTGGACAGTGTTCTCGAAGCTACCAGCATGAGTTTGACCAAGCTGCGGGAGGCAGTGGAAGACAGGAGTGCCTGGCGTGCTCTGTTCCTCCTCCAACAACAACAACAAAATAAAATTCAGAATTAGCCCTTGAACAAATTAAGAAAAACCAGAGTTTAAAAGAGCTGGTGCTTAGTGCAAACCACTACTTTTTATCTGCCAAACAGTGTTTGTTTGTTTTGTTTTGTTTTTTGTTTCAGTACATAATGAAGGACTAATTTCTTGGAAGTCATTGTTAGTACAACAATAAAAAATCTGTACGTGATCCATACAGTGGTACCTCGGGTTAAGTACTTAATTCATTCCAGAGGTCCGTTCTTAACCTGAAACTGTTCTTAACCTGAAGCACCACTTTAGCTAATGGGGCCTCCCGCTGCTGCCGTGCCTCCGGATCACAATTTTTGTTCTCATCCTGAAGCAAAGTTCTTAAACCGAGGTACTATTTCTGGGTTAGCGGAGTCTGTAACCTGAAGCATATGTAACCTGAAGCGTATATAACCCGAGGTACCACTGTATTAAAATATGTGGGGGCCAAAATCAAGGGAGGGGGGAACATATACACATTCATTTTGGGGAATAATCAAAAATTCAAAATTTTATGAAACTCTTTGTGGTTATAGAAGCACAAGGTTGTTACATGGAAACTTCATTACTTACCTCAAATGTGTTACCAGTTTCATCAATCTCTGGTGGCACAAAGGTACCTTCTGGGTCATCTTTAAAAAGAAGCAGGGATTAAGAAGTTAAAATAGAATACATTCAAGCAGAATGTTTCAAGAACAAAATTTTAAAAATCCTTCCAGTATCTATAGAGTAGATTCAACAGCTTTTGACTACTGAATTATATAAATGCAGCAATATGCATTGCCAAAAAAAATCACACAAAACAGATACAATTACTTCCTAATATTTCCTGCCTAAAAAAAGCATTGTAAAGGTGTTCTGTATAACTCACTAGTAATTCTATTTAAGGAATTACTAATATCCCAAATAAGAGTGATAAAGACATACCTTATCATCACATGTGCCTAATGGGGAAAAAAAAACTGCAAACTATTTAATCCTTGTCATGTGTAGCTATCTTGAAGGTTAAAAGCCATCAATCCATTTCAAGGATGAAGAAGGCGGCTGACAGACTGATAGATTCTTACAGACTCCAGATCTTAAGATGCTGACTCTGGGCTCTTCTGGAAGATATTTCTAGCACATTCTGTCTTACAGGGTCAGAGAGACCTTGCATAAAGACAGACGCAGGATCTTCCAGTTAATTTATTAGTATCTCCATAGTGAATTATCTCCCCAGCAGGGAAGTGGCACACCTGAGGTACCACACTAGTTCATGGTCTGATCCTAGTCTCCCACCAGCACAACCTCAGAAACAAAGTATGATCCAAAGTATACAATTACTCTGTTGGGTTTGTTTGATAACACAATACGAGCAAAGCAGTATCTACGCTTAAAACTGGAGCTCTATCAACCAGGGTAGGACTCATTTAGGAAAAAGCATCTGAACAAAAGTATGGAGGCAATTTTCATGAATACTCTTAACTGCATAGGAAGATATTTTCCCTCACCCATTCATAATTTGGGGGGAATTATAGTGAAAGAGGATTCAAGTGTTCACCTAGTGACATAGCCTTAGTCTTCATTTATGCCACATAAATCTTCAATTTCCAGAGATAATGATGATGATGGTGATGATAATGACAACAGCGGACAGAAGGAACTAAGGCTGCAAGCAGGTTTGAAAAAGAACTTAACAATCTCAGTTGCTAAGGGTAAATACACAGCAGGTGGGTAGGTGGTGAGCAATATCATGGGAGGGGTGTTCCCAGCTACACCCCCCTTGCCCTTGGAAGCCATAAAAGCTGCTGTTGCAGGAGAGGGGCTGAGAGCAACATCATGGGAGGGGTGTTTTTAGGAGTGTGGTGAATCTGTGAAACTGCCTTGTTATTTTTACTACTGGATGTTACATGTTGCTTAAGTAATCTTTTCATATTTATAGTACTAGAATGTGGCTGTTTGGTAAATTACTACTTTTGCTGTTGTTTTGCTATGTTAGTACGCTATTATTTTTGTTTTGCTATGTTCCAAAATTGTTACTGATACTGCTTTTCTACGTTATCATGAAATTGTTTTTGTAGTGTTTGTTTGAAATGCATGTGTTTCTTTGTTGCAAGCTGCTTTGAGCATGATTTTTGTGTGTGGAAAAGCACCATACAAACAAAATGAATGAAATATTCCTAGGTGCAAAACTGATATGGGTGAATATTGCACCTAGGAACAGTAGCAAGTTCAACACTAGAGCATTTTGTTATCAGCAAGTTAAATTTAGGGTGAAATGGACAAATCAAGACAGAGCCATCTCCTTTTAAACAAAAACATCCAAGGAGCAGTGCTTGAGGATTTCAGACTTGCTCAATTCATGCTTTAACAAATCACTCAATTGAGGCTACTGAATCATTGGAGAGAGAGGACACCATCAGTGCAATGCTATCCACAAATTCTGTTCTCTTGTCATTTCAACAATTACATCACAGTTAAACGCAATCTAGAAAGACATCATCAATGAACTTGAGAAGAGAACTGGAGATTTTGAAATTCTGACATGGTTGTTAAATAAATTAATATTTTTTTAAGAAAGAGAGAAAGCAGAGAACAAATAGGTAGTAACAAGCTTGCTGAAGATCTCAA